TTAGGGATGGTCAGGTTAAAGAATGCTGTACCGGCGAATAGTGAGATGCCGCAATGCTGAGTGACCATTGTACTCGTCCACAGGTATTGCTAGAAAGAAGACAACCAACAATAGTGAATGCGCGATGTAATGCAGCCACTCGGTGGGTTGGTTAGTTAGGCAATGGCAAAACAAAATCACAATTTTTTCTTATGCTCTTTTACTATTCTTCTCTAATTTTCTTATTCGATTCGTATGAAGTACCATGTCTCGCTGCGCTTGCCACGTGACTGTGTTTGTTTTGGCAAATTGCATGCAACGTGCAATAAACATTTAAATTGATGACTCACCGCTGTGGTTGGCTCTTTGCATCTGAAACCACTTTTTTCGCTCTTGAGTCTCGTTACTTTGCTTGCGAATTGCACTAGTGAAGGCCATTTGTGCAGCTTGCGACCTTTGTTTGCTCAGATTTCCTTAAACAAAAAGCTTTTTCATTATATTATGGAAATCAGAACCGAATTGACACAACTGACGGAAAGGAAATAAATGCTGCACCAAGCCTTTTTAAAGCCAATTTAAAATTTAAAGGATCCAATAAAATCTAATGGTCGCATTAAACTTATTTACCAAACCATACCATTGTGATATTCAATTTTGCAGTGTAACAAAATCGCATAGCAAGTGCTAAAATGTGCGGAGCTTAGAAGATAATATTTGCGAGTCTTGGATACGACAAATAAAATTTATAAAAAATTAATAAATAAGTAAGATTAGTCACCAGCCATATTCTTACTACTTTTGATATTCCTTACGACAAATTCTGGGAAATTCTGAATAATGCTAGGTAAACTGTTTCGCTAAACCAATAACTATTTCATAAATTTTTCCTGCCAAAAAAGATCTACTGAAAAATAAATTTTCATGAAATTGATTAATAAACATTTTTCGGTGTGAGTCTAGGGTAAAAGTGAACCTAACCCTGAATCTAGACAAAAAATTCATCACAAGACTGCGCAAACAAAGCAAAGAATGACATTTTTGAGTTTCGGTTGATACTTTCGTTTAAAACTTACGCTACTCTGGCTCTTCTCCTTCTTTTAGATATTCAAAAAAAATTATCAAAATATGTTGAATGCTAAAACTTATAATAAAGAGTAAATAAATGAAAATATTGAGGATATGAATTAAATTGTAGTTTGGGTCTCTTCTTTTTCTATTTTAATTTATATGTGTGTTTCATTTTATATATTTATTTTCATTTTTTTTTTTAATTAAATCTCATAATAACTCTTACGTAGACGAATTTCCATTGTATATTTTTCATTTTATTTTCCCTACCATATAAAGTAGGTACATACATATATTGTAATTCTTTTTTATTTCAATAATTCGTTGAAATATTTTAAATCACCATTATTCAAGCTACCTGTGGTAACATACATATGTATGTATGTGCTCAAAAAATGAACGAATCTTCCATCCATCCACTAAGCGCCTTGTCCAGGTCTGAAAATACCTTCTCCTTAGCTGTTACCCGGCATTTAGTAGTTAATATACTGATAGATTGCATTGATATTTGGCATTAATTCACTTAACCTGACCCACGTGAGGGCTAACAATAACTTACTAAAATAAAATGATCCTAAAGCAACAAGTAAAAACCCGCTGACAAGGTAAATAAAATACAAAGTAGTTTAATGGCAATACTAATGGAGGAACGAAACGTTTCGTGCGCTCCTACTATGTGACGGCTGTCTGAGGTTTGTTTGCAAATTCACTAAAACTGTTTACGCTGTTGGGCAAATTGGCTCCTTTACACACATCCATATGTATGCAAAGCACTCAGTGGGTGAGCTGATTTGCTAACGATAGCACTGGATTGCGCAAACTGAAATGTATAATATATAAGCAAAGAATGCAGTTGCTTGCTTGACTCATCACTAGAGTAAGCTGATGTCCACTGCATATGATAATCAGTTCATAGGAAAAATGGGCGAAAGAGCTCTGATGTGTAGACAGAGTAAGAAGAAAACATAACTAGGTACTCTTTAGCATATGCATCAAGTGGAAAACCCCAAAAAAGGAAAATATTAATTTTAAAATATTTTTGAAAAATTTGGAGTTCTACTGGCGAACTTGTGAACTATAAAGAAATTGCGTTTATATAGACTACTGTAGGCACAGAAGAATGATTAATTTTTATATAAATTTGGTTTTCTTAGAATTACTTAAGTTTAAACTTTAATTGGTTTTACTAGTGAAATTAGCAGTACTACGTATACGCACTGTTGAACGTATTGCTTGATAGAAATTTTATTAAAAAATATATGTTTTTTCCAATAAGCGAACATCATTTTTTCATACTCGATGTTATAACTAAGTGATTTTTGGATAATAAATTAATAAATCATCTCCAATTTCGTAGCGCAGTCTTCGCCACTTGCCACTGCCTACCAACACAAATAAATTTTGCAATTTTGTGTCATTGAGCAACCTTTATTCATAGCAGAAGACTTCTGATCTGCTGTTCTTGCCATTTTCGATACTCAATCTGTGGGCGGAACATAATTTCAGTGTTGCCTACATACTATGCACAACGTGACAGCAGCGCTTACAATGCAACAGCAACATCGGCGTCGATTCATCTATCATTGACGTTGCAACTGAAGTAGTTTCTGCTGTCGTCGCACTCAAATTCTTAGCTATTTTTGTTTGCCTATGATATGCGCCTATTAGCAAGTGCTTTCGCCGAGACTTGCTTTAGTTGCTCCGCAGATTTACACTGTTTTGGCTTCTTGTAGTCTGTGGGTGGATGTAAACATGACAAGTTGTGGCAACGTCGACACAGACGTGTTGTTACACTGGCTCCAGCACAGCATTTGACAAGGTCCTTCATTCTTAACTTCACTTTAGACTCTATAATTTCGGGTTTAGTTGTTCAGGTGGATTTCATCGTACTTGATTTGTAGAAAACAAAAAGTAACTTTTAAACGTTGTACCTCAGGTAGTCACCTCGGTCCCTTAGCCATGAAATCTGTTTATTCTATTGCAAAGAGAGAACTTTTGCTCTTCCTAAATAATGTAGATAGATGGTGCGTTGCGAACTGTATGTCGTTAAATGTAAAAAGGTGGAAATACATATGTTTCTATTGAAAATCTCTAGTCCTTTGCCTATATGATACCTAATCACGGTTTTGCACAAGTCACTGACTTCACTGATTTAGGTGCCACAATGGACCCTATGAAAGATTTTAGAAACCATATCCAAATTTGCTAATAAGGCAAAAGGCGTTTTAGCTTTCATTAAACGTGGCGAATCTGCAGAAGAGCAATACCTACTATTTACGTAAAGAAATTTAAACTGGGATGCGATAGAAGTCATAGTCTTAGAAACATGATTGGAGTTTTATTTTTAACTAAATTGATAAAAGTTGTTATCAGTAGCCGATTTCTACTTAACGAGCCTAACTCTACCATCCTTTTAAGACCATCTAGATACTTTAGACCCTTTTCCTTGTGTCCCTGCAGAAAAAAATGTGAAATACAGGACCCTTTAAGATCCTTTTGTAACGATTTTGATACACATTTCGCCAAAATAATTCATCTGACTCCCTTTTCTGTAACAAAACCTATTTACTGAGTTCTTCAAATAATTAAGTATATTTCTTTTCCTTTTTCACATGCAATTACATTGTAGCTGATGGTCATTCTGTAGGTGCTTAGTGAAAGAGACATGTGTAACCGGGGCCTTCAGCGATCGGTCTCGGGCTCAAGACAGTCCAGACAGTCACGGAATTTATCGATTATCGCTCATATGCGTCCCTCGGCTGGTTGAGCAGGTACCCCCTGCTGCTGGGTTTTATGTCAAAAAAAATGCTATCAGTTTGTAAATTACGACAAAACACCATCAAATTTACCACAGCATGCCTATTAAGAATTTCTTATTTCATATCCTTTTCCCTTCATGTATTTTATTTTACTTTATTTAATTTAATTTTATCCTATTTTATTCTAGTTTTTTAAAACTTTTGAATTTTATTTTAGTTTCCATTTTCTTTTTTAATTTCTTCGTATAGATTTTGTTTTAATTTTATTTATTTATTTCATCCTTTTTTTAATAAACATTTGCTACTTCTTAAATGGTATGCAAATCTCGTAAATTAAAGACACCGCCAACAGAAAAACACTCAGGCCATTAGCAGATCCTGTTTAAAATATCATCAACTATCCATTGCGAAACTCAAAACTCAATTATATCACTCGTCAGCATTAAAAAGTATTTAGAAAACAATTTATTTTGATTCTCTTCGCGAAAGGTACAATTCTCCGCCAATTTATATGCCCTCGGAGCGATTCGGACTGCTAATTGATTCAGATTAAAGCGACTGCAATCGATGCGCTTCAAGCCAAACACAAAAACAGACGGGAATACAAAAAAGCAACGAAGCGCAAATACCGCGAGCTAAGAGAGAGGGAAGAGAAAAAACCAAGTGTAGTAAGAGGAGTAGCCTCAGTAGCGGAGAGCACACAGAGTGGAAACGAATAATTTGCAAAATAAAGTTACTAGAGAAACAGACGGCAAACTTTAAAAAGCAGACGAATTAAATTACCGCACAGTACCCTGACGGGCTGAGATCATTTTCAAAGACATAATAGAAAAGCATTAATTATTTGTTTGCATAAAATGAACTAGAACGGGAACTAGTTCATTGACAAAGCTTCAACTGTACGTGTTGATCCATAGAAAATGTATTTGTATTAGGCAGGGGGCTCTCCAGAAGCTGAGAAGGAAGAAAGTGAAATAAATTGAGTTATCAAGTGAACAGCCGAGGGCAGTCTAGTATGGAATGCTTTCTTACGAAGCCTCGGCAGCTTTATTTTAGTTTCAGCTTTAGCAGCCTGTAACATGTCACTTGTATTTGCTACACCCTTTTATATGCCCTCTCATCGTAATTGTTGATATTTGCTTCTCATTTGTTACACATTTACTGATTCATACCATTTTCCTTTATTATTTTTAGCTTCGAGGAAAAGACTACAAAAAACCAACACAAATAACGCAAAAATGCGACACAATAAACGAACGAGCCATAGCAACAACAAGAATATATCGCGGCTATTGCTACTATGTCTACCAACAGTCTCAAAACACGTCACTACGGCAGCCAGACGTTTGCGTCTACATTTAGCTTAGAGCGTATAACCTGTCGCCGCTGACGCACCCTCCGCCACGGTTGCGAAGGATAGTTATTTGCCTGCCTATCGCTGAAAAACAAATCGCAATAGCAACAGAAGCCAACGCACCACCTGCGATGATACCTACAGCTACGGCACCTGTGCCAGGACTGGTCTAGTTGATCAACACCACCGCTGATGCTGCTCTTGCAACTAACGATAATACAAGGCATCGGACAGAATCTGTGGTAGGCAATGGCAATAATGGCTCAAAGGCAAAACATTTCATTGACAAGTCGGCAGCCAATGATGCGGAGAGCGTCCAAAAACAGGTTGCTGCTAATTCAGCGGACACGCCGGCGGCACTCTACTCAGCAACCACGGCTGCAGTAGCCACCGCGGAATTTTGGATTCACCGGAACACAACGTCGCTGCTGAAGAGACTCAATTCCCGAAGGAACAGAAGGAATTGCGGACAAAGATTGGTGATGAGGACATTGACACGTTGGATGATGGCAACAATGTTGGCACTGCCAGCGGCTGACAAGGTAACACGCTTGAGAAATCTGATCCGGAGTTGATTGGCTTCGAAATTTTGACAGGGTGAGTAGTCAACTCCTGTGAGATGTTACTATAAAATGACAACAAAAGTTCCTTTTTAAAAAGAAATTATTTTATTTAATTTTGTTTAAAATTTTGGTAAACACAAAATTTATCTTATCTCGAATTGCATAAATTTGAGGCTAAAAAATGTCACAGATCAAAGAAGTTCTAAAGCAGTTGGCATATAAAAAACCAAAAACAATCTAATAGCCTACTTTTGGGCACTAAATTCTGATTGACTTCTCAACTGGTCTTACGAAATTTTGAAATAAGATCTCTAGTGCAAATTACCGATTTTAGGGAAAAAAAAGTCTTAAATATGAATTTTTAGTAATTTTATACTGTAAGTTATATCAATATTACTAATTTAAACTGTTTTTTTTTAAAAGCTCTACAGAAAGTGTTCACGAAATACAAAAAAAAATGAATAGTTTGTTTCAAAATCAGTGTAAATCAGTATAATTAACAAAAATATGTTATTCCATTATTGCGTTAGACCCCTCAATTTTTCCTGAATTGAATTGTGGTTTTAGATGCATAAAAATTGTTTCTCTTTTCTTTAATTATTTCCACTCTCAAATCAAATAAACAATCCCGCTTTCATAATTTAATTTATTTTTTCAAATTTTTGTTTTAATTAGATATTTTCCAAACTTTCAACATTACTAGAGTAGTTATGCGAAAAATTGCTGCTATTTTCCAATCCATGATACGATGAACTGCTTAAATAAATTTTTAAAAAATAAACTTATGGATGAAATTGGCAAAATTAATTAGCGAACAGCAGCTGCCTCCGATTAGCCATGAATTCATGAGGAAATAATGAGTTTGTTATTGATTAACTCAATTAAAATTGCGCTTGTAAGGATGCATTAAAAATTCTTTAAAATGCCTACACATATAATTGTGTGGAAAATTCTTTCTATAAAATCGCTATCAAAGACAATAAGCTCACTGATCCATTGCTAACATTGACGAGTGAATTATGAAGAAGCAGCAGCAGTAATAATGGCAACCATAAGAGCAGCCCCCTTTCATATTATGTAAAAACATTTTGTGTAATATTATTGATATTTTTATGAAATATTTGTTGTTGTACTGCTCTGCGCACAATAATGACACTTACAACAATTGCAACAAATAACCGTAACAACAAACTTTAACAGCTTCCGGCTATGTGCGTCTTCTGTGCCATTTGCAACAAGGCAATTACATAAATAATACCGATTTCAACCATTCGTATGATGCTGATTGCAATTAGATGCTCCATCGAGAGAGCCGAGTGGTGACTCGAAATGACAGTTGTCACTACGCAGCTCACAACTCACGGAACTAAATTCAAATTAAAGAAAAAAAAAAAACAAAAAATAAACAATTTGTTTCGTCTTTGTACAGAATGTAGGTTCTAAAGTGAAGAGGGATAGAGGGAAAACATATACCAATCGGTTTAGAAGGACGGCTTTAGTTAATATATTGGAGCCCGCCAGATCGGTTCATTATAACATATAGTGCCCATTCAACCAAAGTATTCAGATGTGGGATTTTGTGTCAAAAATCTGTCTGTCGTCTGAAAAGTATCTGGGAACATGAAATTTGGTGTTGTACAGACTTAAGCTCGAATAAATATTTACACTGAAAACAACCGATACTTCAGATACAAGAATTAATATTTTATACTAAAATGCATCACAGTAAATTTGGTATGTCCAAGAAAGGCTTCGGCATGACCGAAGATAATTCTTCTTTTTTGTTCTCCCCACTGTCTATCCTTCTATTCACGTCGACTTGCGCGTACAGGGGATTTGTTGTACTCACCAACTTGCTTTCTGCGCCGTAAAAGTTGCGTGGATGCGTAGAGTTACGTGAATTTGTTTTCCTCTTACATACGTACAAAACGCAGCGGAAACACCATGACTGAATGAATTTTTTCTTTGTTTCAATTGCTGCGATCATCTTCTGAGGCATTCAGAATTCAGTGAGTTGTTTTGATTTTGTGGTCGTTGAGCCAAGAATTTATTTAGTTGTGCGTTTTGTTGTTGCTTTTGTTACAATGAGTGAGTGAGTGGTGTTATTGGCCGTTGGTAGACGCTACTGAGTTAATTGGCCTTGCCTTACCTTCTCTAGTCTGTAATTGTTTATGTTTGTTGTTGGTGGCTTAAATCTCCGTTTTAGGTTATTCAATTGCCACCGTAAATATATATGTACATAACTGCAACTGCAGGAATTGCTGCTCGAATTCCTTAACTGTTATGTGGCGTTGCTCGTCGAGTTGACGCTCTACGACGACATTTGAGAGCTACTGCCCCAATAAAGTTCTGATATGAAGTAAAATGACCCTCATAAACTGCAGGGGATAAGCTCCTCACCCTGCGGCAGCCATACAGCTGCTATATGATATAACTTCTAATGTGGTTTTCGGCCGAGTTCCTCCTCTACTTTGTGGAATGCGTATTCATATTTTTCCAACAAATGGAGCCAAATAATAAATGGGAATAATTTAAATATCCATGGCTGAACTAAGCATCAACAATAAACGACAGCAGTCACTGCCACATTTTATTTAATCACAAATTAACAAAACCTTAAATAGGCAATGATTATGGCGGCCTCGTGAAATAGACTCACAGAAAAAGTGTCGAAGGTTTATTGGAAGTCTTTTCTGGCCAACATTTTTTTTTTTTAATGAGAGTAAAAGTGTTGGTGTTTAGGTTTAAAGCAGAATATATTAAATAAAAATTAATTTAGGAACATTATTAAAGATCTTATACTTCTCTATAGCGTTCTCTCCTTCATATGGTTATTCTACCCTAAAAAATTATTGCTGATTTTCAACCAGTATTATTGGCCTTTCTGTGAGATTTTTTATTAAGAACTCTCCTCGACCTTTTTAATTACATTAAAATGCATTTGATTCTTCTGTTATCGGAACTAAACATTCGAATCTTATAAGAGATCTCTGTTATATGGAATCAGAATCCCACATGTGCCCTTAAAACTACTAAGCCAAGAGAAGCTCTAAAATATTTAATCAACAATAACGCAATAACTCACCTGTAAAGAGAAGAATGCAAAGAGAAAAAAGGAGAAAAAAATTATTGGTATTATAAAATTTCTTTTTCTTTTCTCTTCTTTTTGTTATATTATAATTTTTATTAATTTTTTTTTTTTATAATTTTTCTCCCACTACTTGGAAGCAGTCATTATATGTACGATTGGTGCGTCATTGCAACTGTTTTACAAACATACTTACACAACCATATTCCGCACTAGTGAACGATATGAGCTCGATATCTTGTGGGATATTTTTGAAAGAAATCTCTGACCGCGCAGTGGCGACCAAACAACATTTTATTGGTTTGCTTGTTGTTACCGCAAGTGTTAGTTGTGAATTCAATAAATTCGTGGTGTAATCATAGCGGTATCGGCGATTTTTATCGCTGTTTTTCCATTTGTTGTTCTTCTGTTGTTTTCAACTCTTCAAATTCCTCTCCTGTTTTTCATTGCTTTTTTCCTTTTCTATCACTATTTGTATGTATGTACATTACTTCCATTGCTGAAGCATTTGTTATTTGCCTTCCCCCAACCAGTAGTAATGCAATCAGTGAGAAAATATGGCAAATTCCACGAAGGAGAAGACAGCAACAAATGCCTACGTTGAAAGACAATTGTAATTTGTTATTAACTTAAATCGCATTTTGTCATTGGCCACCGGCGAGTTGGCTGTCTAGCAATCGTAGTGCAGGCGGCAAAGGAACGGAAGAAGGAACATTAAATGAGTAGGTGAAGACTAGGTGGGAGCTGGCAGAATATGTCAGGCTTACTATCTTTTCAAACTGGGTTTGAAAAGCAGACAAGACAGCGCTGACCTCGCAAAATGTGTTGTATATAAACATAAAATTTGTAAATTATGTCATTGATTATGGTTTGCCATTTTGATAACCTTTTCTCTTATTGATATTTTGTTGGCATTTTTGGATTTGTCGATAAAAAACATGAAAAGCGCCAGGCATTTGAGGAAGAGCTGAACTAAAAATCACTCCAGATGTTAAAATATATAAACTGATAAATTAAAATAAAAAAAAAATGCTAACTTTGGCACACATTTAAGTTATTTCACTACTTCAAGTGGCTTTGCTGTTTCTACGCCTCCTCCATTCATTATCTTTTCTATTACTATTTAAACGTTGTTCTGGTTTTGATTGAAAACGGCCAAGCCTCCACGACAGATACGAGTGCATCACATGTTCATATGTGGATGTAATTAAAAATATCCTAAAAAAAAAACGTGCAACCCGCCGACCAACAAATCATCAGTCAAGATGTCAGTAAAACTGTTGTCAGCCACTAATTTACCACAACCAGGGCAGTAGTAACAACAAAAACGCAGAAAAAGTATGAAGCGAAGTGAAAGAAAAAGCAGAAAATGTATATCTCGTAGACGAGGATCCAACCTAAGAAAAATTACGGTTCATCTTCTGTACAACTTGAGTGTGTACCAGTAAGAATATCTGCAATGACAGAGTTGCCGTCTAGGAGAATTTTACAACTGCGCATGTGTACAAATCCAAATCCGTTGAAGAGAAAATAATACTAATTTACTTGCAAATGTTGCTTATTAAAAAATAGATTGTTTGATGATTCTGTAGAAGAACTGGTAACAGCAAACAGATTTACACATGCACCTACATTTCAAATTTTATGAGTCTAACAAGCGACGTTCAACATATCCGCCCTTCGCTGCAAGTGACATTCATATACGAGTACATAAGACGCAAATAGAGTAACTGACTCAGTGCAGTGCAAGCTCACGAATTGCTCGCGGGGAAAAGTAAAGTTGCTATAAATTTGAAGTTAAGAGGCTTTCATTTCAGAATTACTTAAAATTTGTCTTTAGCTAAAGAGCTATGATGTACTTGTGCTTCGGGCAAGACCATCGAGGGGACCACGCCAGAACTTATTCAAAAGTTTTAAAAAATGAAATGTGACTAATGAAGGAACAACTCGAGGAAATAGTTGGATTATCAAACACAACCATTTTGAAATCCAATACAATCATCTTGACATGGCTAAGGTCAACGCATTATGGATTCCAAGAATGCTCACATCTCCGCAAAAGTTTGCATACCCAAGAGCGGAGTGGCTTTGGCACATAATCACCCAGTCTACAGCCCATACCTGGCCCTGAGTAATTATTAGCTTTCAAAAATTAAAAATGGCTGAAACGTAAAAAATGTACCACCCATGGTGAAGTCAAGGACGCAGTTTACGCGTATTTTGAAGATGCAGAGAAAAAGTTTTTTTTGAATAAGTAAATAATAAATAAATAAAAAGAAAAATATGAAAAATTTATTTGCCTTGCGGACGAACAAAAATACCTCCTGGCAGTCAAAAAAGGCTTTTGAAAAAATATTTTATAACTGAAGTTGAAAGAAATGAAAACTCACCAACTGAAGATTTTGTTTGATTTAACTTATAAAAAAATTAATTATAAACTAAAAAAAGCTAAATTGTCTACCTCATTTCCATTCCCTCTTTCACCTCGTTGATATTGCAAACACCTAAAGACTTCGAAGTTTCATCTACTGGCTTTGCCCATTGCCGTTTTATCACTGATAAATCACTAGTCACGTTGCTCGCCTCGTATTATTCAATAATCAATTAAGGCCTGAAAATTAAATAGATAGTGTCATTGAAGACCATTAAACAAGTATCTAATTAAGAAAAGTGAAAGTCACTGTACCAAGGAGCAACTCAAATCATCAAGACCGAATATTCAAAATAATATTACCAGATAATTGAAATCAAAATTTAAAGGGGAATGTGTTTGCAGATTAGAAGTTGGTTCAAAAAAATTTTTCCTTTTTTAAATTGTATAGTTTTGTCTTGCTCGATTCTGATCCCAATGCCCTACGGTAATTTTTTTTAGCTTCAACTGATTGAACTTGAAAATGAAAGTGAATAAGGTAAATTTTTGGATCATTTACGAACATAATTAACTATAATTGAGCTAAAAAAATCACTGGTAAATACAAAAGGGTGTAAAGTACAACGAAAAGAGAAGAAGCAATAATCTCATTAAAAGACGAGCATCATTTGCGATGAGATAATTGAGGTTGAAACTTCCAAGTAAAAGCAATAAAAACAATAAAACTACCAAGCAGCACACGGAAAAATCAAAATCAGCAAATTCGGTGAATAGGCGGGTAACATGTGTATCAGCATAAAACGGCAACATGTTGATTAATAGTAGGGAAGCAATCGAGAAAAAAGCAAACCATAACGTGAAAATATTACAAAAAGATTTTCCATGTTCACTAGTCGTCAGCGCCAGTCACACCCACTTGAACTTGAGATTTTTTAAGATTTCTTTATTTCGTAACCTTTTTAAAAGGTAGATATGTTTTAACCAGCAAAACTGAAAAGGCCAACAACCGCTTAACAATTTGCGCAGCCTACATATTTTTTCTGACTTGAAATCAAAAAAAAATAAGTCCAAGGAGTTATGGTCTTGGCAAAAACGGCGACTATTGTGAAGGTGGCCTTACAAAATTTGGTCATCAAGTTGTGAACTGTTTCTAGTGCTTACTTCTTGTTTTTTGTTGTTCTTGTTATACCCATAACTTCCTATAACTTCTGAGAATTTTTTTTTAAAATGTTTCAACGCAAATTTCTGTCAGTTTTGGAATAAAATTAAATACTTTGCTGTCCAATCGGTTGTTGAAAACAAAAATGTTGATAGTTTTTATATGAAATAGCCACATATATTTAATAGGCACTTTGTTACGGCTGTATTTTCATTAAAATTTGTGATGAAAGTAGGTGTTTAAGGATAGATGCTGTGATTTGACTTTTTTAATTTTAATGTGATTTTATATATTTTCACATATATATTTTTGATTTTATTTATTACATGCATAATCTCATTCAACGTATATTTTCTTTACTAATAATTCCTTTCTTTCATTTCCATAGGCGCCCTCACCCAATCACAATTCCCTGTCTTCACAATTTATGCACGAAAACCATGTTTCAGCGTGCGGCCATGTGCACGTGCCTGGTGTATTGCCAGTGGTTTCGCGACTTGATTGTTTGGAGCTATATTTAGGAGAAAACGAATGCACATGCCGGTGAGTTAAGAAACAAATGAATTAAAAATAGTTTATTTAAAAAACAAAATTATGACAAAAACTAACTTTAAGAAATTTGAGTTATGTAAAGAATGTGTTAATAAGCAAAAAACAATAATTTATTAATTTTTAATATTCGAAGGGACACAGTTTTTTTGCTATAATTTCTCGTTTTTTTAATAAAAAGTTCATGAATCATTAAACTAAAAAATAAAAGTATAGTCTCCTTAAAAAACTGCAACTCAGCAAGAAATTATTGGTTTTACTTTAAATTACCAGCCCGAGATAAAGATACTTTCGATGACGTTTTAAGGGAATTATGTTATGTTTTTATAATTTTAATCGAGACTCTTACTATTATTTATGAAAGTATACAATAATATTGTTTACAGTTTTCTTTCATTCGAATTGTGCTCAAGAGCCTCAGTCACTACACAAAACCATCAACAAAGCGTTTTGTCATTTGCTTGGAGAATGCAAATATACAAAAAAAAAGTTAGGTCAAAGAGATTAGTGTAACTTTACAAAAATATCAAATGGAAGAAAGTACAGAAAATTAATATCAGATTTACTATCGTTTTCTTTAATTTTTATTCGATTAAAATATGTTTGTTGTAAGTGAATTTGTCTAGACTGTGGAATCAGTGTCAATAATAATTTTATGCTCAACGCAAGCAATAAATATGTTTAACATTTCATGCATTTGTAAGAGCGAAATTGAAAGCCACAGAATTTCAGGTTTGTCGCTTAAGTCTTTTGTTAACCACAAAGCGAAACGACGAGCGACACTTTCTTACGCTTGAGATAAGCGGAAATGTGTAATTAAATTATGAATAGCAAAATTTATTGCAGCTGAAAGTCGTTTTCAACAAAATAACAAAAGATTTTAAAGCACGGAAAGTGGCACGACAAGTGGGTGGTAGAGACGAGATTCTCCGCTTGCAATCCCTAAACGTTCTATAAGTGATTTTTTATTACTTTGAGAGAAAAATTCTTAACTAATTTGTGCACTTTCTGTTGAAGAAATGCAAACAGCCATTATCACACACGATAGGTATTTTAATGTCTTCATATTACTCGTTGTACGGCTGTGCGAAATATTGCGAGGAAGAATGAAGCGCAGAAATATATGTTTTTTCAGTAGCCGATTAAAAAGATGAAGTACAATATTTCTAAGATTTTCTGTAAAGCTAATTTACAACTACGAAATATTCACATTTTCACTTATTCCCATTAAAAAAATTACTAAGTCCAATGCATATCAATAGGGGAAGTGCACCAGTTGTGACCAGTCTCCACCTTCGTGCATCCCTAACATAATTTTGAGAAGCGAATATAACTAATCTAAGTATTGTCAAAAATGTGTGTTGAGAATACGCCGTTTTTATATGTAAATAGAATTCAAATTTTGTATTTGAAAAAATAAATGCCGAGGCGGTTTTAATTTTTTTTCTTCAAAGTGGCATAAATCTTTGTAAATTATTTCAAAAAGTGAGTGGAAAGTATTTGAGGGTTGTTCAACAATGTTTTGATAATGTATTTTGATGCAGTTCTACGCTTCTCCAAAATTTTGCCATCCCCGGTTGTGGTCACCTTGATGTAATCGGTTTTGCGCATTTAACAGTATTAAGTTTTGCTATTTGGACAGCAAATCTGACAAAGGTTATGCCCAAGCTCACGGTGTTTCTTGAAGAGAGTTATCTGTTTCCCATATTTATGCATTTCTCCTCAGAAGAAACGTGGATGCAAAGCAACACCATCGGAGCCACTAGCTAAGTGCGCCAAGACAGAGAAGTATCCGCCATCCGACGATGCGTTTTTGCAGAAAAAAAATAGAATAGCAGATGCGAGGCAGTGAGTTGAGCCTACAACCCACTGTCGCTAAAATAACAACAAAAAACAATTTAGCGACCAGCGGTCGAACATTCGTGCAATAGAAGCAAGCAGTCATCCGGCTGACTGAGCAACTGACACATCCTCCAGTCGGTACGGCGCGACTGCTCTCAACTGCGTTAGGCGGCCAATATAATACAAATAAAAATGTAATTACAATAGATGCTTTTTTCTGCTGCTACCTACTGTCTGATGGGAGTTATCTAAGACACAAACACACTCACCAACAAAATGCAGAGATAGTCCTGGCGGTGGAAACTTTAGCGCTTAATTAAATTCACAGTAGCTATTGCCAGTTGTTGTCGTAAACTAATCAGCGTCGGTCCAATTTTACCATGTTAGTTGTTATTATGCAAGAATGCAGCAAATTGGCGCAATTGAAAATTGCACGAACGCATAACAACAGGCCAATGCAAGGCAGCAAGAAATAATAATAATACAAAGGAGTGAATGCAAAGACAATGCAGCTCCTTATGAACGAAAGGCAGTTGTGAAAATTACCAGAATCTGGGCTGAGTGAAAATACTTTACACTTTGGTTAGGTGTGGCATTAAACTAAAGTGGAGCTCGCGTTGGCGCTGCAAATTTATGTAATCAGCTTGCGAAGCTTCTGTGATTCCAGCGTTTTTTGCGGTAGCATTTTTTATTTATTTGGCAGCACAAGGAAAATGCATTGAATTCATTTAACTTTATTTGACTAATAATTTTTTATAACTTGCGAAAAGGTAATTTTCAGGCCTTTAGTTACAAATTTTTTTCGTGACTTTTTTATAAATAACTTAAATTCTTTTGACTGCGCAGCTTTAACAAAAATTTGTTTGAAACATTCAATTTTTTTAATTTTTTAAAAATTCTGCACTTTGCAGTTTTGCATCTTCAATTTGACAATAACAAACAACTTGCTATTTAAATGACATAAACAAGGTGGAATGGCGGACCATTTCATTTTGCTTTTTTTGACTTGCTCTTTTTGTCGACTTTTTCCTAATTTTTGGGCAAAATTGGCTAAGAAGAAAGATTTTCAATCAATTTTTAATACTAAAATTTTTTTTGTATTTCGAGATAGATTTAAATTAATTTTTATATTTTTTTTAGTTAAAGTATTATGTAAATACTATTAAAAGATATTTTATAAATCTGATTTTTGTAACGTTGCTTTTGCCGTAATATATGTCGTACTGATCGATTTGACACGAGCTAAATCATTTTATCCACCCCCTGTAATAAAGCAATAAAAAAGTGATTGTAAAGAAAATTTACTAACAACGGTTACATAACTGCATTACGTTAAAGCATTTCAAGCAATTGTAACTAATGGATTTTCATGCTTTATCAGCAATTGCATGCTTATCAAATTACATAAGAGTGATGTAAGAATTGGATATGTTTTTGTATGATTACACCCTACTAATTCACCTTGGCTTTCTGTGCAAGTCTTGTATAAATATTTATTTGGTTTTGAACCGTTACAAATAGCAGCATTATAAAATAGCGTAGTAACAATTTGCAGCAGAAACATCAATCAGATAACAGGTAGTTGTTGTTAGAAAAGCCATAATCCACACTGCCTCGCCACTCCGCCGATCGTGGCTTTCACGAAATTTGTAGAAATTTCTCATTTAACATGGAAACGCGAATAACAAGAAGCAAATAAAAATTGCAAATATGGGTTGCGGCAGCTCAAGCACCGTTATTGTTTTTATTTTCACCATTTTCTGTTTCGTTGTTGCTCGTTGCAGTATATTTTATATATTTTTACGTAATATCCCTGGTGTAAGTTTAGTTTTTGTTTGTTTTTTGTCGTAATTTTTGTCGAAATTGTTGGTAAACTTTAGGTTTGATAGTAACCAAATACTTGTGGTTGATTTTTTTCTTATTATTTTCTAATCGCTCTTGTGGTTTCTTGTTTGCCAGTTTAGCTATTTGTTTTGATGGCGTCATTATTATGGTTATTAAGTCCGTTATGTAACAGTAAGTTCAATACATTTCTCATATTCTCTTTATAATTTAGTATTTCTTTTTCTATTTTAATATTTTTTTATATAATCTGTAAATTGTGAGCAGCTCAATTGGTTTTATATTGTATATTTTTCAATTATTTTGTATTCGCGTGGGCGCAGAATGCAAGCCGAGGGCACCAGGCGTGGCCCTTTGTTAACCATTTAATTGGTTAATTGTATTTTTGAACTTTGTTGCCTTACTGACCACAACAAAGTGTAGTGGACTTATGGCCGATTATGAGATTTAGTGATTGTTCGCTGGCAAATCATTTATTGCACAATAATTTCTGTGACTTTAGATTAGCTATTAGCAAATGAGGCATGCAACACAACACATTGTATTCGTTAATCGCATTAACTGTAGCACGAATTAGAAAACAAATATTAGTATTAGTATTAGTATTAGTATTAGTATTAGTATTAGTATTAGTATTAGTATTATATGTTGCACCGTAACTTGTTAAAGCTTTCTATCTTAACTGTTCTTTTTTGAGTAGACAGGCTTGAGAGATGAGGAAGAAAAGAACACATCCATAGTGGACTTTGCTTATATTTTGAAGACATATAACTTAAAAGAGTTTGCCATGTGTCTCTCTATTGCCTTCACATTTGAAGACTGAACTCAAAGCTATTTTCAGAGATTTTACGTTATCTAGTTCTAAATAGTTCGTACCTTATATCCTAGTCTGTATTCCATCACATTTTAATGACGTGTGAAGGCAATTTTCTACATTATCCTATCCACAATGCACATACATATCCCCATATGTAGTGTGAAACGCATTTATCGCTTAAATTTCTATCGCATTACACTAACGACGCATTGATTGCAAATATGGCCAGAAGCAATCACAAGCGGCTTATCTAAAATCTAAGAATTCACTGGCAGTATACCTTTAATTGAAGCTGTGGTAAGAGAAAAAAGTCATCAGCACCGCATTGCCCTTGCCAATGTAAGGGAGAGAAACTCGGCAACCAACCAGTGCCTTCAGCTGAACACACATCCTAATCCGTGTGCAGAATCTATGGTGACATTATGTTAATGCCACCTCTCAAATGGCTAACTACCTTATAATTTCCCGACAATATTTTTGCATTTATGTCACAATTTGAGTTATCCTCACGAAAGACCTATCGGACAAGGGATTAAGGGCTTCACTTCATTGCAGCAGGAAGGCATGCAATACCGTAGTGGTAAGGAGTCAGTAGTGGTGGATTTAGACATATGGCCCTGAATGGTGTAGCTAAGAGTTCATCGCTGAGTGGTGAACGCTAGAAGCTGTGTTCAACGGCGGCAATTACAATATTTCCTAGAATTTTTACACATAGATGAGCACGCAACTGTCATTTCCATCATCAGAATGTCACACAGCATCTTTGAAAGTTGCTGGGGCTCCACTAGATGGAAGAAAGAATAAGTAAAAGACTCCAAACCTGATGGGAAGTTTATCTAACTGGCGTAACATTGCAATGTGTGAGTGATAAAAATAGTATCAAATTATGAGAATAAAAGTAAAACGCGCTATACATTGACACACAGCCGTGAAGCAACAGGGTGGCATCTCTAGCTTAAGCGTTGAGCGTGTATTTGTTTCAGGCTACAAAGCAGTAAATGAGATTCTGTCCAACAGTCTTCGACCGCCAATGCGTGTGGAGTAGTTGTGCTTACAGCGTTGATGCCTTTCTTGGCAACCAACAGCTTCACCGTCATCGCAACCATCTTCAGCCATCGTCATCACTCGCTTCTTGTTCAATTTCCGTCATGCAACTGACGTCTAACGTGCGCCAAACTACCTTAGGGGTAAGCAACAACAACGGAGGCTAGAACAAGCTTGTAATGATGTTATAAAGAGAACCGGTCTTATATTAGAGAGATGCAGTACAGGCACCAAACGGCTAAAAGGAAAAAATCAGCATAAGTGTACAAAAACAGACCCATTGCAGCGTAAGTAAATCACAGCAGACCAAACAAAATTTTTAAACATCGACATTGTATGATTGGCTGTTACTAAGGATTGGCGGAGGGTATTAATTATGATTGCCTGATGGATCAGAAATTGGCGGTGAAGGACGTTGGTGGAGTGGTCTTAGCTACAAAGATATATATATATATATATATCTAAATATATGCCAATGTTTTAAACACCGAACTTTTAGGTGTTGAATTGATATGAAGCCTAGTTTTTTTATAAATTTCTAATAAAGCTCACGCAAAATTTTTTGCATCATTAATTAACTTGAAAGCTGCTAGTGAGTGGCCGTCGGATTTTAAATGAAATATTGCCCTAACTTATTTCGCTTTGGGTGACGGCCAAATTCAGTACTTTTTGTTCTTTCTGTTTTTCTTCTACGTCACTGACGTCACTAACTAACCTCACACCGAGATTGCAGTCTGTGGCGCCAACACATCATTTTAAGTTTTCTTTATGTCATGCAACTGACAACAAACAACCAAGCTGTTCAACTTCATCTGGCCTCACACCTTCGCTAACACATGTGCTTGAATAAGATCGCTTTTATATTTTTATTTTGATCACGCTCATTTACATACCAAAAGGTTTTGCTTAATTTTGATTGATCATCTTCATTACCACTTTTTATTGAAAAGACAAACTAAAAACTAAACTTTGTAGAACTTTTGCATGCTATTCTACGAGTTTATCCAGCTTCTCTCGGACATTTTTCTAATTAATTGCCTCGTCAAGAAATTCTTTATCAAATAAAATTTGGCGATTTGTCAAGTCTTGTGTTCAGTTGAATGATGATGAATGGTCACTCATGTTGGATCCACCAAACTAATTGAATGTATGAAGCCTAAATTATGATAATTTTGAGAATTTATTAAGAACTGGAAAAGCGTGAAAAAATATAAGGTTTAACATTAAATTAAAAAAAGAAAAATTGCTTCTATTTTCGACGATCAAATTTAATTTGAAGACCGGAAAATTCGCGAAAATTCTATCAATATATTATCCCTATTATACTTGGCATAAACCAGTAACTAGCGCACGTGTATTGCAGCACATAAATCTCAACTGTCTACACCAAGGAGCGAAAGTAAGAAGAAGTGGCGAGAACGCAAAGTGCGAAACACCTGCCAGAGCAGATAACAACAAAATTAAAATGCCAAAATAAAATAAGAAAACTCAAACGAAAATAGAAGGTCAATGCAATTTCATTCATAAGATCGAGATTTTTACACACATACTTGTATACACTAACCACTGTGAGTTCTAAGAACGCGGACTCGGACTCATAAAACTTGAATTTTTATTGCTGTTATTGACATTATTTGTTGTTGTTAATGGAAATGTTGTGAGTTGTAAGGCAGTTGATCACCACACTTGGCACGCAAGAAGACGTAAGTTGCAGGATACAAAATATTAAGACACACCTTCCATGTAACCGACACGCGCACATGCTCCGCTGGCCCAACTCGTTGCCACAAAGAATCAATAAATCGTAAGATTTGGTTTGAATATGGACTTTCTGCCACGATGCAGAAGTTAGATTTTTCACTATTTTATTTATGCAATGGTTTAGCAAGACTTTTTTCACAGTTGACCTGTCGGACAAGCCGCCTCAGCGGACGCACAAGTACATTCACTCTCCTAACTCAAACCAAATAATAGAATAGAATAAAATATAAATCAATTCTTCTGCAGAAAGCGGTAAAGAATTTTCAGGTGAGCCACGGGTGCTGCATGCAACACACAGGTTGGAGAGGCCAAAATGCCGCTGTGTATGTATATAAGCAATCCCATTGAAGGCGTCAAAGCTCATAATTGGTCCCGCAGCTTACAGCAACAAAAAAGTGAAATAATAGGGAAACTAATGATAATTACTCTCTGAAGCTCATGTTGCTGAGGCTGAGTGAAAATAAATCAATAATTTTGAGTCCGGCAAGTCAAAGAAAATCTGAAACTTTTTTTATTAAATTTATTATATGACAGCCATGATTTTTAAGCTTATTGAAACTTGTGTACCATACGTATATAATATATATGTTCCATGATGAAGTTTTTAAAACAACTAAAGAAACTATTTTTTTTCGATTATTTCACTAAGTAGAGTCGAATTAGCAAGACAGACAATTGCTGAGCAAACATAAGCGAGCATTTTGTAATCTTGCAACTGCACAACCCATGGAAAAGTGTTGCCTTCTAATCTATTAAAATAAAAAATATACTAACAAGATACAAAAAAATATTGATATTTTGTTTAGAGCATCAATGGGTAGTGTTTACTGGAAATAAATAATAATGAACAGCAATGTGTGCCACAAAGAATTTTTGATTGCACCATTTACAGCAAATTATTGTAAAATGCGTATAATACAATAGGAAATGGCGGAGGTGTTGGCAAAATCACTAAACAATTCCATCTGCATTATCCCTGTGCATTATACTTATACAAATATACACAGTACACTTCTTGTGATGATTCTGTTCGCTTCCGCTATCTACTCTTTATTGTTGCTTACATGCGCTTCTACAGCGTGAGCAAGAACCACAACTGACCAGCAATGGTAATTTGTAGCGTGATTATTTCTTCCTACGGTTTACTCCAACAACGATTCATAATTAATTTGTTCCACGTTCTTACTCCAGCTATTTATTCTTGCACATGTTTAATGTATTGCTCAGACAAGCAGCAGCAGTCAACTCCCAGCAACCAAAATAAGTTGTACTCACGCAACAAATTGTGGTACTACTACAACTTGCGGCATACATAGCTGCTAATTTTGTTGAGATTTACTTCCTTTATAGAGATTCTACATTTAGTTGTTGTTGTTGATTAGATCATAGTTACAAATATAGTTCATAGTTAATATCCGTGTGGGTGTTTTTTTCCCCTTCACTTCTTCTTGATGTATTTTGCAGAGTTGGTCTAAAGGAAAGTTGAGGCATACCCGGTTGTATACTCATTCTCGCAGACCCATTCGTTGCGTGAGTTAAAGAACAAATAATGTAAAAAATGAACTCAAATTCACAACTGATTTTCAAAAAACAAATATTTTAGAAAAATCCGTTTCATTAGAAAATCAATTATCTTTTAGATAAGAAAATAATTTCTCAATTGATGAAAATCAATTATATTATAATTTATAATTATATTATCAATTAATTGAATTAAACCGACCCAAATATTTATTCGAAATATTAAACCATAATAAAAAACACTACCAATGGAATTTGCTCTAAATAATGCAAAAATTAAATCTATTTCCCTAGTTTTAACTATGCTATTGAACGTCTATTAATCGCCACCTTAACGAAAAATTAGTCTATTGCATTCGATTTCATACATGCAAATGTATTTATTGGGTGAATTTCTTCATCCACCTGCCGCTGTAGACAAGTAAATGACCTCCCAAACAATTAATGCATCTGCTTTTATAGCACAAAAGTTTTGAACACGAAATATGAAACAATGTGCCATCGTAAAATGAACATATTGCAATTATCCGTCCACTTTGAGACTCACATACAAACTCATCCGCTAACACAATAACTCTTTGATATAATCAGAAGTCAGTAAACCTGTCGGTCATTTTAGTGCCATTAATGGTATAATTGAAACGTCTAAAAGAACACTGCGACGCAACTGATGGCAGATTCATTGGCGATAAATTACAGCAGTACTGAAAGTTTAAAAGGAGCAGTGCTGTTCGTTGGGATATGCAATGTAGCAATGAGTAGTGCATCTGATCTTAAGGCATTAACACTCGTCACACACTAAGCTATTTTGCCTGAGCTTGTTAATAACATCTTACCATAAACACAACATTACTCCTTTTTTCTCGATATTTCTATTTCATTTTTCATATGCAACACTTTTAGCTATTCGCAAACCATTTAATTTTGTTCTCTTTCTCTTTGCAGATTGACCAACTTTTATCGCTGCGTAAAATCTTGAGAACTCTCCGAAAGGATCGCATTACCCTGACCGGGGCTCACGCATTCTAGACGCACGCTGTTGTTGAATATCTCGAGAGTAACTACGATGATAAGCCGATGAAGACCTTGGATTCGGTCTATAAGGATTCTGGCAGCATTCATGAGTGTCGTGATCTATGTTTGAGTCCGCCATTCAGGTAAACATGGCAGCGTAAATAGACAAAAGGAAGAAATAAATAGTTGAGACGAACGGACACTACACATTTAGTTGGTAATAAGTGACGGAAAAAAATATGAAGGTAATAAAACTAGAAGAGGATTGTTCACCGGATATAACCTTAGCTAATCATACGGAGATATACCAGTTCGGTTATCAACTGAAGTCAAGTCGCTTGTTGCAGTATCTTGAAGTTGTAGCACAGCTGCTCTGCATACGCGAATTACCAATGCTTGGCGGCAATGTATTGGCATGTCAACAGCGAAGATGCTAATGTTAGGCGCATTTCATTGACGATACATCTGGGTAATGGCACTACATACCGATGAAAAGCTTTTGTAGTTAAATTCAAATTATGGGGAAAGCTTTATCCAAGCGGAAAGCTTAGCAGGTAGGTCAAAATATGTGTAATTAGTGTGTAATCTATGTTTTTCGTTAAAATTCTCAAATAAAAAGAAGTTTCCAAATTAGCATTAAAGTGTTCTTATTTATTTGGAAGACTAGTGATTAACTGTGGTCGAGAGTAAGTATAAAACTAGCCAGAGCTAATCTGAATTATTTTCGATGTTACCGCAACCAACAAGGGGATCCATGTAATCGAAACGATAAAAGAAAAGGTATACCTTCCTAAGCAGACACTACCAATTAGACAAGTAGATCAAAGAAACTAGTACTTTTAACTTATATAAAACAGAAGAAAGAATATTCTCGACTAGTCAAACCAAGACGAAATTTTAACGGGCCGCATTTTCGCAGATTTATAATTGTATGAAGAGTGGGTACTTTAGCCTGGTCTTATAGGCCAATAAGTAAGTGTATCAAGTATCTGTCATCATACATATGAATGGTGGAATAAAGGAATACATCACAAGGCAGATAGAAACGACATTTTATCGAATTGGGGAGATTAATGTACTGCAGAAGAAATCAAGAACCATGTCAACCATCACCGAAAAAAATCAGTTATTTGGTACTATATTATTATTAGGGTAGTTAGTTTTTCAAGAGGGGAGATTGTGAACCTAACTGCGGCTGGTTGCATTTAAGTCATTGAGTAGGCTACCCACCTGCCACGATTTAATGAATTCTCTTATTTTTCTCCACTCATATTTGCCCTTTTTCGATAGACGCCAACGCCAGGATTTTATCTTCTTCTGTGCAAGTTCTGCACTATGCAGATTCAACCATACCATATTTTTAAGATGACAATTCGGAGGAAGATGGCCCATTAATAAAGCATCAAGATGTTCCTTTGCTTAGTGATGCTCACAGTCTACTACTTTCGACAAAGTCTGAAGGTAATAAAAATTTGAGGCAGTGATAGCAAGCCAGTTCTTCCAGCTTTACACCATTTTCTACATCCTTTGAACCTGATACCCACGTTATATTCACTGACTTCTCCTGCGTCAGGTTGCTAATTTTTCCCATATAGGTTCTCAAATATTTCGACTCTTCCTTATTGGGAAGGTCACAGAAAAACACTGTTACCCTGTCGTCACACACTATCTTTTAATTGCCGATAGTCAAGCCTTGTGCCCAACCCTCTTTGCCCGGTAGTAGGTAACTTCCATGGAAGATTTACAAATTTAGTAATTGAATAAAGGAAGACCCCCAGAATTTCATACATAAAAAGCAGCGTGTGGATGCCTCTAATAAATTTATGGACTTTGTACGAAAATGAAATATACAGATTTTGAAAATCGAAACAAAAATACGTAAATACTTAGTTTCGCCGTAAAACTTTCTATTTCAGAGATCCAGGATGTTATCTTCTATTTATGTTCAACAGGCAACGGCTGACAAAGCGAGAAAAATGGCAAGGAAAAGAAACAAGATAACATCAAATGTCAACACTTCACAACCGAATACAACTCTCCTGATTATCGTTTGACATTTTAAGGACAATAAAATGCCTACGGAGCTCGCTCGCAAAGCCCGAAGTAAAAACATATGGATTGAGATTATTGTACAACAGTTCGGTGGCTCAAAAGTCAATCTTCACGTAAAATCAAGTGATCGTTGGCACGACGATTACGACGAGGCCGATTACAGAGGCGGCAGCAGAAAAATGAAAACAAATCATTAAACTGTCAATAGCGAATTATAGATATGTATAATATACATACATATATTAAAGGCATCAGTGTACATTCTTAAATATGTGAACGATAATTTTTGATTGAACGCTTTTCCAGAAGCTGATCTGAGTATTGTTGGCCATTTGTCACTTTGCAAGTTCTTTTGGCCATTTGTCATCCTCATCGCACCAAAAGTGACTGTCCTATGCAGTGACCGAAGATTAATGACTTCACTGATTGATTATGGTAATTGCTGGGCCATCCGCGCTTATTTTATCAGGACAAGTGCCGGAAAATCGTTGATATTATTTAAAGGAGATTTATAAATGTAGCGTGGTGATCTAAGGAACTCGAAATGCTGTAAATACACAACAATGTATTATATATGTACTAACAAACATATATAAAGAGAATAATTTAATCCAATGTGAAAATAGCTGAGTAGATGTATCGTATAATGGTTCTTATTGAAGTGCTCCTGTAGTATTTTCAATGTCATTCAATTCTTGCTAGCTATTTATTTCATCCTAAATGGAGACAACGCCTTACATACAATTAGTATCATCGGGCAATTACAACGCAATAGTTTTAAAATTAAGAGGCTTCATTTCGAAAATATTTAAGTATAATATATGGCTAGAGTAGAAAAAAGACTGCAACCCTTCAAAGTTACACAGAAAGTCTCAATTTAACATTCTCTACAGCTTCTACCAAATTTTATTAAAAAGGTTTTTAACCATTTATGATCGTTTTTGGGCATTTGTTCACTTTAATGTGCCTATTAATGACATTAAGGAAGTATTCACAAAAGATTAATTTGGCAAACAGGGAACGGTGCAAAAATGTTGATTCAAAAGAGACCACGTGTCCTGGTTTAAAAAACCATTATTATGCAATTTATCAAAAAACTACACCCAAGAATTGAAAAAATTCTGAAGAAATATGAAGGGACCAAATAGATTAGGGTAGTGGAAGACCTGAGCTAGCTCGTTTCATATCAAATATCAAAGACACGAATGTGTCTATTTCTCAACGTTCTCAAGAGCTTGGACTCTCCATAACCTTACGCCGTACTTGGAATTAAATCTACATTCGTAATATGGTCAATATATCCCCAAAAGTGGTCGAAAATGATCTCTAAAGGATCGATGCTTGCTTCACACATAAAGCAAAACCGCAAAATATATTGCTTTGCATAATGTATTTTAGGTAGGTCCTTATTGCAGAAATTATTGAAGCACGAAAGAAAATATCACATTGTTATTAAGGCATTTGGTTATAATCTTTTCCTCAGGCTTTTAATTATAAATAAAATAAATTTTTTTAGGAAAAATGTTATTTTTTCCATAAACAAAAAATTCGCTAAAGCTTTCGAAAATTATTTAACGGAAATATAAATTTACAAAAACTCTAAAATCGTTTGCTTTTATAATTCACTAGTTATTTCATTTCAAAATTATTTTATTTTCTAATACACAAAATACGTTTATAATTTAGAAGATCTTTAAGCCAATTTAATATACATGCAATGATCAACTCATCTAAACTTCTGCTTGGAATTATGATAAAATAATTTGAAAAGAACTTTTCGACCAAACTTTTTGGCACAATTTGCAATTTACTGATACAACTACCATTTCTTATTTTCAAAACCCTTTCAACAAGTCAAGCCCAATCCAGGAATATTTCAACTATTTTTTAAATATAAAACAAATTAAAAGTTTCATCTCAAAAATGCACCCGTAATTTAGAATTCTACATTTAACTATTTAAATATACATACATAAATAATGCTCAGCTTCCTCATACCAAATTTCTCTCTTTAAGTCTGTTCATTTGAACATGTTGTTTTTTTGTATGTCATTAAAAATATTAGCAAATCAATCTGGGGATTTACGTACAGGTGAATAGCAGTGATGCCGCTCAGTAACGTCAACGACACTCCAAAGTCGCACTGAACAAATACAAAGTCGATACGAACAAATGCATATATGTATGTAAGTGTATGTTTTTAAATAAGCTTAATTATACACAGGCTCAACGTCAATTGGCCAATTGACAGGCTCCTGCATTCCGTATTTGGTTCTTAGATAAATTGTAGAAGTAAAACTAGAAAGAAGTCATGGAACACCTCTGTAGTTGCCTACTGATTGCAAGCTTTCTATTCGAATGCCTACGCTAAATGTCAATTTCAATTTTATTTGTTGAATCTTCAGTTATGAGTTTCCGGGATGTTAAAATTAAGCACAAATGATTTGCCATGACTACATGATTACAAGCTTACAGGATTTCCAGGATGTGAGTGGTAGATAGAAATCTTTTAAGAATATGCAGTTAATATTTTTTCAACATTCAATAAAAATTATAATCTTATTATGATTATAATGAAATAATTAAGATAATGCACAGGAACCCTGGGTAATAGAATAATTCATATTAAATAAGGAGCCCGTCGTATAAATGGGTTCAGTATATCAAGTAAACTCCAGCCATGAAATTAATATTGCCTTTAGCGAAATTAGTAGCCCCAAACAAGCTTGAGATATCACCAGAGAATTGTTGCCTTTAGAGCTTTGCATACCAAAGTTTTTTCATACAAAGCATTCCTTGAGGAAGAGATCGTCACTGCAACAAACTCTCATCCATTGACTCTTTAGGTTATTTTTCGGAACAAATGTATCAAGGCAGAATCAGTTCTCTTCTCCATGAGATACGACAGTACTTTATAATGCTGAAAAGGGAGCATTTTCGTTCTCGACTTAAGAATAGGGTTGTGCCAGGGTAGGGTTGGGGGCTTAACATAATTTTGAAGAACTCACTAAAATGGTGTACTCAGACATCATAGCTTATATATACATATGTACATACAGGCTCAATCATATTTTTACATTAGCGCTATATTTTATGACCATCTGGAATAGTTGATGCTAAAATTAACAAAGTTTATTCACAACAATTTTCCTGTACATGCAATAATATGCTTGTAAACGACACCATTAAGTCACGGGTAATACAAGACACTTCTCCTTAAACATCTTACCCATCAATATTCGCTGTTTGCAACACTTGGTACGTCTATAAATATTCTGCCACAACCAATTAGCACGACATAAAGCAAATTAATTGTGTTTAGTGCTCGTACGTTTAGTCAACCAATCAATCAAATTGCCCCGAAGCCTTTGCTTTTTACCACTATGACAGAGAGGTCTATGGAGCCTTGTAAAGACTACACGCGTGATAAGATGCAAGACGGATGTCTCCGACAATTTGCATAAACAACATATCCGGTAATCAAGTTGTACACGAAGATATAAAGCGAATAAGGTTTTTT